CATAACTAAGGTTATTCATGAGATGGTTTAGAAGGTGAAATTAAAGTCACCGAGACTAGAGACTCCACTTCTCTCGAGAGATTTATAAGCATTTGTTTTCCATTCTAGAAACTCTCTACGTCTTTTAAAGATTTTTCTATGGAGAGCAATATGTGATTTTAATTTAATAAGCTTATGAAATTACTGCCTTGGAATTCTGAAAACATATCTTTTTTTTAAGTTTTTGGGTCGACTTTTTTTGGGGGGGGGATATTCGAGTAAAGCCACATAAGAGCTAGCTGCGGTCTTTAAATTCTAAGTGGTTGTGTATAGTACTCACCAACAATTCTTGGGCTACTCTAATAGAATCGTAAAATTTGACCGTCACTCTTATAACTCACGTATGGCCCCAAAGTGCGTTTTTTTGGTTCCATAGTCTGACACGATGGCCAACTATTTAAAGGAAAAAGCATCATCTTACATTAACGTTTATTTTTATATATACACATAATACCTTACTCTTTTACTTTATTTGTTTTTTCTTCTTCGAAGGTGTGTATTTTTGGAGTCGCTAGATTTTGCTTAAACAACTAATCCAAATTGTAAAATGTTCATTTTAAACTTCGTATTTTTATTCCGAGCTATTTTTAATTCACATATTCATAGTTAATTGAAAGACAAAGGTAGCGACAATATTGCATAGAATACTTCGTTTTGAACTGAAATATCTTAGAGAGTATCTATGTTTTAAGCTGTACTAGATTTTGTATGGATGTATATATGTTTCTATAATTCTTATTCCAAGGTAAATGTCTTAAGGTATAAGACGGCTAATAGTCTTTTAAATTATGTAGTGTCTTCCTAAAGTACTGTTCGTCTTTTTTAAGATAAAGATTCAGTGAAAACCAGAAGATGAATAGTAGAATATCTTGACATTAAGGTAAGAAAACCAGAAGAAGAATAGTAGAATATCTTGACATTAAGGTAAGAAAACCAGAAGATGAATAGTAGAATATCTTGACATTAAGGTAAGAAAACCAGAAGAAGAATAGTAGAATATCTTGACATTAAGGTAAGAAAACCAGAAGAAGAATAGTAGAATATCTTGACATTAAGGTAAGAAAACCAGAAGAAGAATAGTAGAATATCTTGACATTAAGGTAAGAAAACCAGAAGAAGAATAGTAGAATATCTTGACATTAAGGTAAGAAAACCAGAAGAAGAATAGTAGAATATCTTGACATTAAGGTAAGAAAACCAGAAGAAGAATAGTAGAATATCTTGACATTAAGGTAAGAAAACCAGAAGAAGAATAGTAGAATATCTTGACATTAAGGTAAGAAAACCAGAAGATGAGCACAACATTTTTCAATGGTGAAAACGTAAAGAAACAACAGAACATGAACTTTGATCGTGGAACTACTTTTAGTGAGTAATTGGGAGTACCCTGTAAAAAATTTCGCTGTTAATTTACGGTAAAAAGACCAGGCTTGTAACCGTGAAAATAATTTCAGAACTTGAAACTAATTCATGTTGTTTCACAGCAACACGCCGTTACATTTTACTGAAATTTACCATAAAATAACTATTTTAGTTGGTGTATTTTACTGTTATTTTACAAATAAATACACTTAAATTAAAATTTTTCCCACATAAGATATTTTTTATTACATATTTCAAGTTTTTATCACTGTAATTCCACAAATAATACTTTTGAATAAATGTGTAATCCATGTAATATATATGTTTATTCGTGCATTTTTGGTGTTTATTCAGCTTACAAAGAAATGTCTTAAATATAATGATTAATCCACATACAATAATGGTTTTATTATATATATTTCAAGGCTTTCCTTTTTTACAGTTCCACTCAGAAACACTTTAAATGGTTTATCCAAATAAAATAACACATATATATGTACAAAATAACTTTCGGCCAGGTCAGCTGCATGGCCAGAGCCTTATTAGCAAAAATGCAACTGTGTATAAAAATAAAGATTTAAGTATCACACTTCATTGTTAACTTAATTAAATAAGTACTGTCTTTTGATGTAAAATTATTTTTAACGGATTCACATTGAATTCAGAGGATTAAAGAATTGATGTATACATTAAACAACTTATAGATAATTTCCATAAATTAAAGTATTTATTTTTACAGTATCTTTACGTTATTTTAATTTTTAAACCTCACTTTTAAGATAGAAATTTTAACATTAAAAAAATGTAGGTTAATTGCATGCATACGCAAACTTCTCTAATGGAACTAGTCTTAGCGAGTAATTGGGAATGGTGGAAATACTCAAACCTGTAACGGAACTAGTCTTAGTGAGTAATTGGAAATGGTGGAAATACACAAATCTGTAATGGAACTTGTCTTAGCGAGTAACTGGAAATGGTGGAAATACACAAACCTGTAACGGAACTAGTCTTAGCGAGTAATTGGAAATGGTGGAAATACACAAATCTGTAACAGAACTTGTCTTAGCGAGTAACTGGAAATGGTGGAAATACACAAACCTGTAACGGAACTAGTCTTAGTGAGTAATTGGGAATGGTGGAAATACACAAATCTGTAACGGAACTT